TTTCCAACTGAATATTGGCTAGCCGATTTTCTATCTATTTTCGTATCACTACTCCTGTGTATGACGTACATGGTAGTGACGTCACTGATTTAGTGACCCACGAGCTAGTACTAAAAAAAAATGGTGAACAAAATTTGACCCACTCCTGAAAAAGGTGCGTCATCGCAGCTCTAGATCGATGCTTAATCGAGTCAAGAATATCACAAATCGCGGACGGTCACGCGGCGCGAATTCGTCGAAATTCTCGAACGAGCGACTGGTACGATAACGCTGTACGCGATAACGAATCGTCGCGAGAGACGATTGATATTACTTCGACCTTTTCTCCGGTTTACCAAAAACATGTGAAATATTCAAAGCGATCGAGTTATTTTGTTCACAGATTTTTTACAACGCAATAACTCGATGGAAGATTTTACATTTCTTCTCGACACATTCGTATTATATAAATAATATTATAATAAAATAAATAAATAAAATAAATAATATTATAATATTATAATTATAATAAATAATATTATAATATTATAATTATAATAAATAATATTATAATAAATAATATTAAATATAATAATATTAAATATCTCAAATCTTATCTTTCTCTTTTCAAAATTTTAGAAAATGAAAAGAATTCATTGTTCGTTGATAAATTTATTATTCATTATTATTTAATCGCTAATGATATGCAACTTATAAGTAATATACGGGGTGTCACAAGTTTAAGCTGCCGAACTTTATAAAAACAAATAGGTCCGTTAAATGTTTTCGCCGATTTAAAAGATTAGAAAATTTATACAAACACTCCGTTCTAAAAGTCGCCTAAATATCACTGTGTCCTCGGTCCTTCGTACGAAAATGTTAAAGAATGTTCGAATCGCGTTCCAGCGAACGTCACCGGGCCGTGGATAAATGTAATTTTCGACGGTTGGCACGTCGCGTTTTGCTCTCGTTCACGATAATAAAGATGGCGCGGGGAGGGGCGGCGCGCACGGCGAAGGATTAATTTGTTCCTGCGGGGAACTGGCAGCCGCGATTTAGGGGTAAATTTGTGTTGGCGAAATGAAAATGTAACCTCATAACTCTGCTTCCGGCGCGTCGCTTTATGCATAGCCAGGCCGCATCCGACGGTTTTATACACTTCATAAACATTCCTCCGGATTTCCGCGTCCTCGCTTGATGCCATCATCCCTGACTCGCGGAGGGTGACATCTTGTTCAACGCGCCCTTCGTTTTCGAGTAATCGCGCTTGTTCGCTTAATGATCGTGCCCCGTTGAGTTTCATGAATTTTTTACGAGCGAAAGACCAGCGACCTTGGGACACTGTTCCAGCTGTTATGCTGTTTAGTCGCGGCTGGAAATTAAGTCGGCGTGCATTCGACGGTTCCTAAAACAGGCAAATGCTTTCGGAATGTAGAATATCGCGATATTATAGTGCAGGAGACTGGGGTAAGTTGATGCTAAGTAGATTGTTACAGCGCGTTTATCGAGACACTGAGAATTTACAGCTCGACGAGCAACAGACGTTTTGTGGATCACTGGCTAATTGATTTATTATGTTGTATTTTATAGTTGTATTTTTACTGTATCATATTTTTGTTATATTCTACTTTATTATTGTATTTTTACTATATTGTATTTCATAATTACATTTTTATTATATTTTACTTTATAATTATATTTTTACTGTATCACATTTTTATTATATTCTACTTTATTATTGTATTTTTACTAGATTGTATTT